CCTCCCCTCAGCTTCCCCGAGGTTCGTAGCGGCTGCCGCTGAGAGCAGCCCCCTCGGGCCCGCGGGCCGGGTGCGGGCGCCGCTGGCCCGGCCGCAAGGAGAGCCCCGCGGCGTTTAAACCTGAGCGGCGGTCCCCGTCCTCCGGCCGGAGCAGAGGCCCCGCGCCTGCGCCGTCTCTCAGGACCAGGAGCACCGACCCCCGCAGGAGGAGCAAAGATGGGGTTTTCCTCACATTCTTAGGGATTAGAATGTGGCAGACGCGTCTAAGCGCTTCACAAATATTCACTCTTAAGGAGAAAACGGCCTGTGATACTGCAAAGCGCCACCAGGTGGCACCGTCTCCCTCAGAATTCGCGGCCGGCCCGGTGACCGCGGGGCGGGGTCTGGGCGGCCTGGCCGGTCCTCCCGCGGTCAGTGCGCTTCACACTGTTGTCCCCGCCGGCCCCGGGCGTGGGCTCCCCGGGGACGGCTCTAAAACGTAGCTTCATTGTTGTTAACGTGTGGCGGGGCCGACAGAACGGGAGACCACTGCCATTGGGAAGACTGTTTACTCATGGTTCCCAAGGGGGCGGCTGGGCACCCCGGGAGCGTCGCGGGGGGTCAGGAGGCAGGGTGGGGGAAACGTTTAGATGTGTAAGAGCCTTGATATCAGTCTCTGTGGGGAGGAGCAGGCAGGCAGGGTAGGCAGGCTTAGGATGCGCTGGTTTGAATTTCCGCACTCTGGGGGACAGGGGCTGCCCCACTTGTCCGGCATCTGGCTGAGGGGCGATTAGGGCAGGGCCATGGTGGCCCCAAGCCCGAGGCCCTGACACAGGAGGCGGTTAGGGTGCGGGCTCGGGATCCTCAGACCACCCCAGGGGAGGTTTGGTTTCTGAACAATAAATCTTCCACCCAAAGGCGGTGGACAAATATCTAATTGTTCCTATAAACCAAACTGGCAAGAGTCTTACAATGAGCACAGATCTTTTGGTTAATCTCCTAACTGGAAAAAAGTAAGAAGTGTTGGGCCTTCCTGAACTCATGGCTGCGGCCTGCGCGTGGCCTCGGGGTGGCCCTTAGAGAGGGGACACTATGGTGTGAGTGGCAGAAGGCCCCCGAGGCCATGGGCACTCGCGTGGGCACACGGCGGGGAACAGGATGGAGAGCACCCCGGGAGAGCAGCGATGGCAGAGCCAGCCAGGAGTGTCCTGAGGCTGCTCCAGGGCCTGGGAGGTCCCTGGCAGGTGGCCCACAGAGGCTGGTTCGGAGCTATCGTGTTATATCCGCGCCGTCGAGGCCCCGCCTGAGCCAGCGATAATCTTTTCTTCTAATCTGGCTTCATTAAGTGGACACCGGGCCGGATCGGAGGAGAGGGTCACTTACACGGTTGAATCATGTAACCAGGCGATCGCGCAGTGTTCAAATTTCTAAAAGGGACAATTCCACCAAGAAATAGCGCTCAGTAGGCAGTTTAATAAAACTTAAACACTGTTAGCCCCGGCCAGTGTGGCTCAGGGGCTGGAGCGTGGGCCCAAGCACCAAAGGGTCACAGGTTCGATTCCAGGTCAAGGGCTCCCAGGCCTGCAGGAGGCAACCAATCAATGTGTCTCACAATAATGCTTCTCCCCGCCCCCTTCCATTCTCTATCAAAAACACACAAAAATCAATGAAAAAAATTCCAGGTGAGGATTGACAAAAAGAAAAAAGAATTGCAACCAAACAGGAAGCTGCCAATTGAGTCTCATTTTCATCTTTGAAAATTAACAGCCCCAAGGGGCTAATTTGTGCAGCACAATCCTCTCAGGCTACAATGGTCAGCTCCTCGGGTCTAATCCCAGGCTCTCCCTCTCCCTGCAGATCTGTGGCAATTGCAGAAGGCAGGGGAGGCTGCCTCCAGATGTCCGTGTGGTGCAGATGCTGACCACTGAGGCCCAGAGGGGAGACCTCACCAGCTCCCCACGAGGCGACATGGCTGAGAACAGGCCGTGGTGCTGTTCCTGCGAGGCAGTGGCACAGAGAGGAAGGAGCGGGGGAGCAGGCGGCTCTTGGAAATGCCCCTGCCCTGTACGGAGAAGCTCCTGAAGGAACTCACCGGGAGCCAGGGGCTCGCACACTTGCTATACGGTGGTGTGTTCTCCTTGTGGGAGCACCGCGAGCCCGAGTCCTGGGATTGCGGTGGGAAGAGACTGGAGGGTTTTATTCTGAAGCTTTGCTCCAAGGGGCCCAAGGCTTTCTGCACGTTTTGCCCCCACCTGGAGGAGCTCTGCCCTTACCTGCTCGCCTGCTGTTTCCAGTATTACCAAGGTAAGAACCTAGTCTGCTCTGAAAAGTATTAAGCTTCACGAAGATCTAATCAAAATAGCTGGCGGCTCAGCCGTAGTAATAATGAGCTTCGACACAGCATGGATTTTTATTTTAATAGAAATATCCAGTGGTTCACCCTGGCCGGTGTTGCTCAGTGGTTAGAGCATCAGCCCGATCACCAAAGTTTCATGGGTTCAATTCCCAGTCAAGGGCACATACTTGGGTTGCAGGTTCAATCTGATCAGGGTGCATGAGGGAGGCAACCAATCGATGTGTCTCTCTCACATCGATGTTTCTCTCTCTCTCCCTCCTTCTGTCCCTTCCATTCTCTCTGAAAATCAATGGAAAAAATATCCTTGGGTAACTATAAAAACAAAAACAAAAAGCTGGCAGAGCTGCCTTTGACCCTGACTCCCAAACCCAAGTGGGACCAAAGACAAAGCCACAGCCAAGGTGTGGAAGGGCGTGCTTGGAAAGGAATTCTGGTTTCTGCTTTTCCTTCTATGGGTACTTACCTCAACCCCCATAACCTGAAAAATGCCAACGTACACCTTTTAAAAACTGCCCCTCTAGTCCTAGCCCAAACAATAATTTGTTTTGAACAACTCATAATGATCCGTTTTTCAATGATCTAATGGATGTTTGTTTAGATCCATATGAACCAACTAATCTTGGTCCTTTTATCTACAATTTGGAGTAGCCAAATCTCCAGCAATACTTTAGAGAAGAAAAAACAAACAAACAAGGGAGCCGGGCCGGTGTGGCTCAGTTGGTCACAAGTCGTTCCGTGCACTAGGAGGTCACCAGTTCAATTCCCAGTCAGGGCACATGCGAGGATTGCAGGCTCCATCCCCAGTAGGGGGCATGCAGGAGGCAGCCCATAGATGTTTCTCTCTCTCTCTCCGTTCCTCTCTCTACAATCAATAAAAAACAGTTTTAAAAATAAATAAATTAGATCACTGATTTTTTTTTTTTTTTAAAGGCAGCAGCATGGAGTGAGCTTCTGGCCAGCACTGTGACACGAGTCTATGTTATAATGCAGAACAAACACGTAGGATCTTCCGAGATGCGTCCGCTGCAGGAGATAAAGCTCAAGAGTTGGAGCTCTGCCCGAGCCTAGCGGGGGGCCCTTGAGCCTGAAGGTCAGGAACAAAGCCTTCAGTTATTTAACAAGTATGTAAATGATCTCTGTGCTGGCAGCCTTTGGAAAGTCCTGGCTTCTCTGTCCTGCCCTCTTCCTCCCCTTGTGGCGCTCGGTCCACTGTGTTCTCTGGCCATTTACAAATCGCTTTCTGATGCTGCATCTTCTAGGAGGTGCCCAGGCCACAGGGTGACTTCTTGGCTCGTTCCACGGTGTGAAAAAGATGGTTCTTGGAAGCTGCCCTTTGTCACAGGCAGCTGATGCTGTTGAAGTGTCCTTCGTCTTTGTTCTTTGTCAGGGCCCCAAACAGGCTCATTTAAAGTGTCTCAGATAACTGTGCAATTCTGGAGTAAAAGTCTCAACTCTGAGGGACATTCTGCAGTGGCTCAAATCTGAGTGGCCTTCGTGTGTTGCTTTGGCTCACAGATTACAGGTCTTATGAGCTAGGATAAAACTTGAACTGTGGTAACCCTTTGTGGCCATTTCTTGCAGGGACAGACTCTCTAATAGATAGTCTCACACAATCATCTGAATGGTTCCTGCTCCATTTAATGTCCTTCCTGCCTCTAAAAGGCATGAGAAATGTACACCAGCCATTCCCTTTAATTTGTTTATGGCTTGCTTATAAATATCTAAGTTGTGATCATTGGTAAGTATTATAGGAAAGTGTACAGGCCTACATTTAGTGCATTTAATTAGTATCTATAATTGATTTTACCGTTTATTAGGCTTATTAATACAAATCTGTACTTGGGGCCCCATTATCAGAGTCTGTTCACTTAGAAAGTACATATCGTGCCCTGGCCAGTGTTGCTCAGTGGTTAGAGCATTGGCCTGTACACCAAAGGGTCATGGGTTCCATTCCCGGTCAAGGGCACATACTTGGGTTGCAGTTTCAACCCTGGCCGTGGTCGGGGCACATGCGGGAGGCAACCAGTCGATGTGTCTCTCACATCCATGTTTCTCTCTCTCTCTCTCTCCCCCCACACCCCCTTCCACTCTCTCTAAAAACCAATGGAAAAAATATCCTTGAGTGAGGGTTAACGAAAAATAAATAAATAATAAATAAAAATCCCCAAATTACTGTAACACTCTCAACTATGCCCTCTAGTTATCATAGGAGAAATTATTAAAAAATTATTTTCCCCACCCTCCATAAAGCTCATTAAATAAAGATAACCGTGTTCTAACAACACCTAGGAAGTCCAAAGTAGTTGGTTTTCAGGTTGCATTTACTGGAAGAAATGCACAAACTACATTTGGTCAGAGTAAGAAAAACCAAGGCCGTCTTCAATAGTCTATGGTATAACCCAAAACAAATTGTGTAATTATTCTGAAAAACCTAAGCACAGTACTTGATCAATATTGTACAACACAATTGATCAAGAATCCATATCTGGTGCCCAGCCAGTGTTACTCAGCTGTTGAGCATCGACCTTGAACCAGGAGGTCACAGTTCAATTCCCAATCAGGGCACACGCCGGGTTCTCTGGCTCGATCCCCAGCAGGGGGCATGCAGGAGGCAGTTGATCAGTGACTCTCGTCATTGATGTCTCTCTCTCCCCCTCTCCCTTCCTCCCTCTGAAATCAATACGTATTTAAAAACAAATCCATATCTGAGAACTAGGAACATTTAAAAATTTAATATTAGGGCATATGAGCTCCTAATGCTTATGTATCTATATTAACTCACTTTACTAAACAGATTGTGATGCGTTTATGGTCACAGCGTGTGTAATCAACCGGGATGGGCCTGTCCCGGGCTAAGATAAACCACAACCCTCATTTAACACAAGGATGGAGCTATATTGCCACTAGATGATACTGTGAAGTAGTTATGAAATTTCACGTTTTTGAACGTGGCATTGACAGCGATTGTTTTTCTTCAAGGAATAATCACACCTCGCGCCCTCTCGTCACTCCCATGAGCACATCTCTTCCTCTCCCGACTGCAGTCTCATTCGGAACAAAGTTGCTCACGTGAAGTCCCTTAGGTCCAATACAATGTGGGCTTCTGGGACGTGCCATCGATTCGCTACTTTCTTTCACGATTACCTTCAAGCTAAATATTGGGAAGGGATGCAAAGGATGGCATTCATGGCCAACTAAGCAACGAAACCAAAGGACAACAGAGAAGCATGAACAAAACCCCAAACATCTCCATCGTGCCTGAGCCATGCAGTTGACAGCTGAAGCTTTTGTTTATTTCCATTGCTAAGTCCTGCATGGAAGGAATGTTCTGGGGAGATAGGGCGAGTGGATGAAAGGCTGGTTCAGGCGGCCAGGCCCTGGCCAATGCCCTGTCTAATCAGAGTGTTGCAGTTTCTGGCAGCTTCTCTGGTGGACATTAGTACTGGGCCGTCACCCAGGAGAACACAATGCTTTCCCTCCAGAGAGCGTCTGACGCCAAGCTTCACTCTGTGCAGCTAAATTTTTCCATTTTTCATTGGGGAAAAAAACTGTACACCCCTCATGCGTGAAGGTCAGTCTGGTGCAGCTCCTCTCTCATTGGTGGTCAGTTGGTAAGAATGGTGGTTCGTCAAAGCCTGAGATAGTTCAGCTCCCAGCAACTCCCTTCAAACAAATGTTTCCCCCACCACCATCCAGCATTTGAATGATTTACATGAGGTCAGATAGGAAAAATAGTAGAGAGAGAATATAGTTGGAACAATGAGAGGGAAGAGGGGACATTTGTAATACTCTCAACAATAAAGATACAAAAAGAACACTATCGCCTGGCCAGTGTGGCTCAGCGGTTGAGCATCAACCTAGGATCCAGGAGATCGAGGTTCGATTCCCAGTCAGGGCACATGTCTGGGTTTTGGGCTCGATCCCCAGCAGGGGGCAGGCGGGAGGCAGCTGATCAATGACTCTCATCATTGATGTTTCTCTCTCCCTCTCCTGTTACCTTGGGTGTTAGAATTTCAGCATGAATTTTGGGAGACACAAACTTTCAGACCATAGGAATATATATATATGTAAAAGAATTTATAATTAAAGTAATATATATTAAATTAAAGAATACAGCCAATTTTTTAATAGGGAAAGAGTCCATTGTTTTCTAAATAAAAATGCTAAGTGTTTTGAGGAATTCAAACTAAAAGATGGTCCCTACCCTCAAGAACCCATATCCCCCCTCCGCCCATTAAAGAAACCCAGCGTGGACTGTGTCATCAGCACAAGGCCCCACATCACTAGCTGGCAGATTGAAAGTCAGCAACGTTGAGGGCATTGGATAAGAGAAAGTTCGTGAGCCAGCCCGGAGAAGGCTTCCTGGAAGAGAAATGACAGGCGCTGTCATAAATCACTGGCCCTCGCCCTGGCCGTGCCCTAGAATCACGAAGAGCTTCGTAAATGCCAGTGCCTGGGCCCTGCCCCCAGGGGTGCTGAGTCAGCCCATGTGGATGCTCCCCAGGTGGCCCTAGTGTTGGCCCCGGGACTGGCTGTTGGTCCAAGAATCAAACTTGAACAGAACATAAATCAACCACATCACTTAGCACAAAGCTTAGTTCTGCCGACCTTCTTATGAGGCTGTCATCGCAGGACACTCATCGACAGAATCAGGAGGTTGAGTTATCTGCTGGGACAAGGTCCTCACCTTCGTGGGTCCCATTTTGAGCGGTGCTGCTAAACCAGGAGTGGAATTTGCTCAGGTTCGGAGGAATACAAGGAAGGGCCTTGCTGGTGTGGCCCGGCTGGCTGAGTGTCGTTCCGCGCACCAGGAGGTCCCGGGTTCAATTCCTGGTCAGGGCACATGCCCTGGTTTCGGGCTTGATCCCCAGTGAGGGGCGTGCAGGAGGCAGCTGATAGATGTTTCTCTCTCATCAATGCTTGTCTCGTCTCTCTCTCTCTGAAATCAATAAAAACATTTATTTAAAAAGAAGAAAGAAATTGGAGGAAACGAGATACTTCAGAGCAGCCTCTGTCTGTGGGTCTGATAGCAGTATCATCAGCTAAGCATCTGAACATGCGTATCTGTGGCAAATTAGAAAGCAGCTCTAGAGGGTTATTATGTGTGAATAACAATTTAAGATATTGTTAAAAGTTCAGCTTTTCTTTCCATTTATCCCGCACTTTCCTCTTTTCAATGTCTGTAAGTCAGTTCCACGTCGACTTCATTTCTCTCTCTACTCCGCAGCCGTGTCCGCCTGCTCGGGGCCATTTAGCTGGGTGTCCGGCACAGCGTATGCGCTCAGTGAGCACGTTTCCATTTTATATTGTGGGACATGTCACATATACAGTGTCAACAGAACGCGCCCCTGCGCACCAGTCACCCGGCTTCAGTAATGACCGACATCCTGCCGCTTCTGTTTCTGTGACTCTACCCTGACCCTCCCTGACCCTCTCTCAGTCGTGAACTATTTTGGTTTTACTGGAGGTAAAAGTGGCAGACATCGAAATGACATCATGACAAAACTGGCTGTACAGTTTGGACAAGTGCATACACTTGTGTAACCCAGTTCAGGGGCAGCTGATAGGATTTGTTTTCACCTTAGGTGAATGTTGCCTGTTCTAAAGTGTCATCTAAATGAAACACAATGTTTACTTTTCTGAGTCCAGATTCCTTTTCTTTACATATTGTCTGTGAGGTTCAGCCATTCAATAAATATTTTATTTTATTGATTTTACAGAGACAGGAAGGGGGAGAGAGAGAGGGAGAGAGAGAGAGAGGGAGGGAGGGAGAGGGAGAGAGAGGGAGGAACATCAATTGATTGTCTCCCCTACACACCCCGACCGGAAATTGAACCAGTGACCCTTTGGTGCATGGAATGATTCTCAACCAACTGAGCCACACTGGCCAGGGAAATAAATATTTTTTAAAGGAAAGAATTCTGGACTTGACATCGGTGGGAGCAGAGGGCTCGCAATTGGGGGAAGATTGGGCGAGCAGGCTGGCATCAGTCTCTGGCGCTCCTTGGAAGCCAGAAAAAGAACCTTTATTCTGTTTGCCTGGCTCCAAGTCAGCAGCATCCTTCATCACTGCGAGCGGGGCTGGAGCTGCTTCTCCGTCGCCACGTCCCACTCCCACTGCTTTCATGAGTCATCGCTGTGCCCGCTGCCAGACTCCACTTGGAGCTGGTGCATTCGGATCTGTCCCTGAAGAGCTGGCACGCTCACAAGTCCCATCCCACACCCCTGGAAAGATACGAAAAACCAGCTCCAAACTTGGCAGGATCCCCTCCACACTCACCCACGTGGCCGTGGGCAGGCTTCAGTTCCTCATGAGCTGTGAGAAGTGAGGGTCCTGACTCTGCACCGGCAGGTGGTTGGAGGCGCCCCCAGTTTCTTGCCACGTGGGCGTCTCCAGTTTGCTTTATCAGAGCAAACGCGAGAAGAGTCAGAGGAGAGGGCCTGTATGTAAAAGACACAGT